AAACCATTATACCCTGATTTCCCATTTTCAATGGGTTCAGGGTATAAAAATTTAATGTAGATCTCGGTTTTAATTATTTTTAAACAGTTTTAAATTGATTGACCTTTTCATATTTATGAAAAGTAAATTATATAATTTATTTCTATGTAAAATTTAATTAATTTTTTGTGCTATAAAATTTATTTTATCATTTATTCACCAGCCAAATTTTTTACAAAATAAATAAAACATTTTTATCTTTTACTCTGACGTTAAAAAAAAGTGAGCAATATCTCAACTTGGCAATATATCTTTTTAAACGTTTTTATAGCTTGGTCATTTGTTTATTATTTTTATTTACTTATCTTTCTTTGTGTTTGTATATTATCTTATAATCATAATAATAATAAATCTATATAACCATATATATATAAACTGCTGAAAGCAGTTTGTTTCATAGCAAACGAAACGTTCGAAAGTTTTCAGCCAAAATACGTGTATTTCATGGCTATTAACTTATTTATGTACATAAATGTCAATATATAAATATACATAACATGTACATTTGTCTGAGTATATATGTATGTATGTAGGTATATATTTCTTCGCGCTAATTTCAATGCCATTGAAATGACTGTCATAGCTGCTTGTGTCCGAAACAAGACTCAATACAATTTGCAGTTTAGAATATGTGTTAAGTGGCTGACGACGGGATTTGTCATAAATCTAAAATTGACATGTCTGAACAAAAACTGCCATTTAAAATGTGTATATTATTTTTATAAATACAAGTTTATGCATGTATGTATGTATGTTTGTACTTTTCTTATTAAACTTCGAACTTTTGGCCTGCCATGGCCCTAACTGACTAACAGGGCAGTTGGCTTAGAAAACCGCTTACAAAAAAGCAAAACGTGCAAAACTGCATGCAAAGCGTTGACCAGACCTCGAACTGGCCCTAGTAGCTGCTACCCCTACCCTCCTACGGCTGCTTGCGACTGCACCTCCGCTCAGGGCGACTACAATACGAGAAAGGGGCGAGAGAGAGAGGGGTGCGTAGACATTATGAGGCCATCGATTTTGTTGCACCGCATTTGAAACATTTTATTCGCATTTAAAGGCGATTTCGTTTGCCGGACAGTTGGAAATGGAGGGCTCTAAGCAGAGCTGGAAACGTTTTGGTTTTAGGCTTTCGGGTTTGGCATTTGTGTGTCAGCGCTTTGAGAGCTTCGTGCCCGCTCGCGTTGCTAAGTAAATGAGCCAGTAACTGAGCCGTAGTCAAAGTAGCTCATAATTATATTATACTCACGTACGAAACTGTGCAGAAAAATACTCAAAAGCAAACAATATGAATGTAAGAATGCTGAAAACTAGATGCAACAGCAAAAGGAAATACCCTATAATTTATTATCGTAAAAATTTGATAAGGAAAATTGAAAATACAAAAATTATTGACCTTATATTTTATAAAATTATTCATTATATTGAAAAAGTATTTTATATTCACTCTATATAAGTGTTTATAGTTTAGCGCTCTTTGAACTTTATTTAATTCTAAATCAATAAACAGCAAACTAATCGAAATTCCACATACATTTATGCAAAGCGTGGCATACCTTTATACGGTGTTAAGGTCTACAGGGTATTTAAATGCCATTAAGAGAAAAAAAAAGAGAATTACTTATTATATATGCGGTATGTGTCGACATGCTCTTTTGTATAACAGCATTGGCCTTTTGTGCTTAGCCGTAAATGAACGGAACGGAAATTTCATAATCATAAACGTTTCAAATGCGAAACAGCAAAGAAAAAAAATAAGAAGAAGAATTTTTGTTTTCGCATTTCGTCAACTGTTCTCTAACCTCTTCTGCTGCTTCTTGTTCACCGACTTGTGAATGAATTGACAATGGGCCGACAGAGACGGCGACTACGATGAGATCTTAAGTTTAGAGCGAGCGAATTTTAAGTTTTTAGCGGTACCATAAAAGAAACAGTATTTAATAGCTGCTTTATGCCCTGTAAAGATCGCGATTGGGCAGAGCGGGTATGATAGTTTTGGGCAAATGCGAGCATCGATTACTGAATTATCTGTATTATAGCTAAATAGTATGCATTAAAGATATAAACAGAGCATTATATCCGTATAAAAGTTTTTGTTTAATATTGTGCACGATTTTTTCATCCGTAAGCTTATTGTTTCTATTTCTATTTAAGTTATCAACAAATTCCCGAAAAACTATATTGAAGCAATACTTATTTATAAATCTATAGAGCTCTGAAACTATACTAATATATTTCTTTAATTAAATAGTTGTTGTCCATTCAAATTGCAGGGTATATGGTAGCCATCCTTTAACAATGTGACTTGTGTTTTTTTGGGAACCGTCTCAAACTGACTTCGAAGTTGAAGCTTAATGATGTCTAAATCGCTTTGTGCTTTAAGTTGGGCGTGTCAAAAAGCCACAAAGAAAAATTTAAATACTCCCAGCTTAATGGGCAAACACAGAATTTTTAACCAAATAGCATGAATAATAATACAATGAACAATTGTCACAATAGACACGTTTTAGAATGCCTTTCCACATTTATGTCTGATCAACAACATTTCCAATCAAGAAGATATGCTGAAGTAAAAGCCTAAGATCATTTAAATCATCCAGAGAAAGATATTTATGCAAAGAAACTAAACTTAAAATTTTCTTAAAATATATTTGCTTTAATATATTCATTTTGCTGGCAAAGCCAGGCTAAAGATTTCACAAAATCCCTTGTCAAAATCAGTAAACTTTTTGTTAATATAATAATCAATATATGCATATATCAGCTATTTTTCCTTAAGTTCCCGTGCATATCAAATATTTGCTCATTATTTCGAGCCCCAGAAGTTTTTTTATTAATAAATCATTTTTCCCCCGAACACAAATGGGAGTTTCTACTTTCATTTTAGGTTTTCGCCTAAACACAGATTTTCCCATGAGCTACATATGTATGCATTAATGCTGTTATATCATTATGATGCATTTTCCACTTCCCCAAAGTATTTTCACGTATCATTAAAATTCGAAAGAAAAAATTAAATGTATACAAATGGAATGTTTAAAAAACTGTGCTAAATACTCGAACACAATGAAAACAACAAAAATTGTCTTATATAGACTCCTGCCACGCCCATCTCAGCATAGGCGTCAGACCCAGTTAGCCAAACTCTCACACACATACATATGCGCAATTTGCATAAGTATGCATACATGTAAATTAGCTCAGCTTTGGGGCTTTGCCTTTGCATTTGCATTTGCATTGCATTGCACTCTGTGGCATGAGTAATCAGCGCCAGCATATACATGAGCCAAAAGCAACATGGCTCACACACACGCACACACACTTACACATGTCGACATGTGCATGCTTGACGTGTTTTTTTTGTCGCGATTTGTGAGCTGTTTTCGGCCCGTCTCGTATTCATTTTTGCCGATCTAGCGTTTTCGTCTTGGTTTTTGTGCTCTCCCAACTTTCTAAGCCGTTGTTTGTTGTTGTTGTTGTTGCTGTTGTTGTTGATATTGCAACTGTTAGTTCCAAGTAACCATCTCTTTCAGCATTCAACCCCCTTCGACCTGTGCGCCACCACCCACCCTTTGGCTGACCGAATGGCCACAACAACCAAAAGTCTCAAACGTTGCTTAGCTGCCTTTCTGGCTACGTTTACATACCCTTGCCGAGGTTATTATACTTAGATGTAAACATATGTAACTCATATAGTTAATATTAAATCTAAATTTACAGCTTTATTTATATATACTAGTTGCAGATGCTAACAGAGATTGCAGAAATCT